TCACTCATACTTAATCCTAGCCCTAATCTAAGCACAATTATCTCTAATGGCATGGCCCTATTGATAAGTACCTTCATAAAGAGATCACTGAAGGTATGGGTAGAAATCAGATGGTGCCCAGATATCAGAAAGAATAGCATCTGGGTTGTAAAGGCTTATCCTAAAATAGGCAGCCATTTATCTGAGGTGCCAGTAAGTTCACATGGAAGAAGCACCCCTGCCTGTGTGATCCAAGGATTGTAAATAATAAACTCCAAGTCCAGAAGAGAGAATGGCATTGGAGCTTAAACTCTTGAAGACCCCCTTTGCAGAAGGCTATCAATGACAGTGAAAGCCCAAACTCCATTTGCAGGGCCCCCACATGGATGAGCTCTCCAGGGAAATCCCTCTGATCATTGGCCAGGCAAGTGAGCAGCCTTGTTATCAGACAGAGTGCATTAGAAAGCGGGTTAATGCAGATGTAGTGAGGTGAAAATCGATACCTTATCATTTGTTCTCTGTTCTGACCCACTTTAAATTTGTTCCAGTTTTTACTGTTTTCTGCTTTCCTTTCTATTGAGGCTTTTCTGTTTTATTTTGTTGTTGTTGTGGAGTTTTGTTGTTGTTGTTTTTGTTTTGTGTATTTTTCTGTAGATGACATCCAGGGTAGGTAAATCTACAGAGATAGTAAATGGATCAACAGTTTCTTGGGGCTGTGGCAAAGAAGGGTAGAACGAAGTAGGGAGCTGATAGCAATGAGAACAAGAAAGAAGAAAATGTTCCAAAATCTATTGTAGTGATGGTTGCACAATTCCTTTAATATGATTAAACCATGGAATTATATGATATGCAAATTATATGTCAATAAAATTGCTAAAATAAAACCCTCTTCTCTCACATCACTACCCTGTTATGTGCTCATTCCTTCTGTATGCACATTAGATCAGCCACCTGGGAACCTTGCTGTACTCAGTGGGCTGCACCACTGAGGACTGGTGGTTTCAGTGGTCAAGGTGTTTGCATAAAGCCCAGACCCCTCAGTCTCAAGCTGAGGTGGAGCCATATTTTTAGGTCTTCATTGCTCCTTCTGCTGTCATGGATTAAGTGTTGGGCTGCTAATCACAAGGTCAGCAGTTCAAACACAACAGCTGCTCCAAGGAAGAAAGATGAGGCTTTCTGCTCCCATAGAAAATTTCAGCCTCAGAAACCCTCTATAGCATCACTATGAGTTGGAATTAACTTGATGTTTTTTTTCATTGATCTTTGCAAAAATTCCAGTTTTGTTTGATGTTCAGAGAGGGTGGAAAATGTTTATCATATCTATAAACTCAATACCTAGTCAAGTGCTTGCCCTATCCTAGGTTAATTTAATCAGCCCTGGTTGAGGGTATCAAGTTCACGATTGAAAGCAGGAACTTGCTCGATAAGGCGGGGAGAGTTGCTTTCCAGGCTGTACTGACTCATGATGTCACTAGTGGACAGAGTAGAATAGTCACACAGGATGGTCTAGGCTGTAATCTTTATGGGAACAGATCACCAAATCATTTCTCCAACAGAGCAGCTGATGGGTTCGAACCACCGATCTTTTGCTTCATGACTGCATGACCAGGGCTCCTTAGAACTGCCCTCCTAGGTTGCTAGCAAGTAGAAGCCAAAAGAAAACTAGCAGCAATCCAATTGCCAGAAATCAGAAAGAAAGAAGGTAAATAAACAAGTCAGGTAAAGATAATAGAGAAATACTAAAAGCAACATTTTGAATGAATATGAGGTTAGTGTCATAGAATCTGGAATCGTGGGCAGAGGCAAACAGTGAGAGGTTGGGCACGAGCTCTTTGTCTCCTTCCGTTTTGTCTTCAAGGAATTCCTTCAGGAGGAAATTGCTTGCTACGGGCACTTGCTTGCCTTTGCTGATCCATGGATCAAGAAACAGTCAAAGGAGATAGGGATCATGTAGGAAGGGATAGGCTGGCATTGATGGATTTGGACAGGGCCAATGCAAATACGGCGCTCAATTAGCATTTCTGTGGACCTAGCGATTTCTGAAAGCTATCTTTGAGACCTAGGCGAGGCTGAGAGCAGCCACCCATATTTCTAGAAATCCTAACACCACAGCCTCATGCTCTCCAACCTGCCCTGCTCAAATTCAGTGGCCTTCCCTCCTGCCTGCCCGTCTCCATAGCTCCTTGCTTGTGTTGCGCTTGTCCTCTGAGGAATCATACAGGCCCTCAGTTGAGCCTATGGGCTGATGAACATTGTGCCTGAACTAATGATTTTTCTGGCCTCAGTCTTTCCCCATTTTCGTTCTGTCTTGTTTTGTTTGACTTCTATTTAGTTTTTTAACGAAAGGAGCCTTGGTGACACAACTGCCAAATCTTCATTTGGAGATCTGCTCCCCCAAATGTTATAGCTTTGAAAACCCTCCGGGGTTGTCCTTCTCTGTCGCATGGGCTTGATAGGAGTAAACAATTAAGTCTTTTGAACAACTTACTATTTTAAACCTTAAAATAGATGCCTCAACCAGCATAAAGGCGTCCTGGGTAATGCAGACAATCGGCTGGCAGTGTGAGCACCCTCAGAGGCAGCTCTAAAGAAAATCTTGGATGTCTGCTACTCAACCATCCCAACCACGGAAATCCTGTGGAGCCCAGGTCGACTCAGACAGGTAAGAGGCCCCCATGAGTCCGAATGGACTCTATGATTTGATCGAGATTGATTAAGTTATGCTTGCAATGTGTTACATACATGACTAGATATTGAGAGCATAGATATGGTGGCATGAAGAAATTACATGTCTTATCTAATTTTCACCACAAACTATTTCTTGCTTGAAAAATGAAAACCTGACACTCAGAAAAGAGAGGAAGCCAGATCACAGAGCTGATTCATGAAGGTTCTAGGACGCCATCCTAGTTCTGTCCAAACTCTATGCTCTTCCAAACTGTATTAATCTATCTTTTGTAGCTTTCTTTCCCTTACTGCCATCTTATTCTCGTGGGGACTATGTTTGAGGTTAGTCTTACAAGAGTAAGTCAAAAACTATTGCTACAAAGTCATAGAAAACTTTATTAAACAAAAAAAAGCAAAACGTAAAGCTGTACACCTCGGAAACCTGTCGTTTCGTCTAACACTTCCTCTAAAGAATGCTGTCCCTGACAATTTACATTACATCAAAACGGCAGTCTTTGGCATCCTTGAGCAATGCAAATCGTGTTACTTTTCAATGTTCTTTGGGTTTCGGGGAGAAGTCTGAAGGAGACAAGATCAGGGATGGAGGGTGGATGGAGTAAGGGTTCTCAATGAATTCCTTGTAGGACACTCCTTACTATCTTCCAAGAATAAGCAAACACATAGTTATTAAAAATACAAAGTTCCAGGGGGCAACTTTCCTGGTCTTTTCCTTCCCAATGCAGTTTTCAGTTTTCAGGAAAGTTCCCCCCTGAGCATTCTGCGTCCTTCAAGAAAGTCATTACTATACCCCCTTTGGAATCTAAAAAAAGCAATAGTCATGACCTTCTGAACTGAGCTGTCTGTTTTAACTTGAACTGGCCTGGCAAAGCCCCGCTGTTTTTCTTAGACTTTCATCTAAAGAGACAAAGATAACTTTATCATGAAGAGAACTTCCCTGCATTCATTCTCTTATAGTATGAACATGATTAAGCAGCTTTTGTTTTGATTTAGTCTGAGTAGGTATAAACTGGAAGCCTAGTAGCAATATTTTTTGACTGACCTGTGTACTTCCTAGAGCCAGGTTAGGGCCAATTTCTAAGGCTCTCATTCTGACTTCTCTTCAACAGGATCACACAGCAGCAGGTCATCTCCCACCCTGGAGAGACACCGTTTCAGTGTCTTGCCAAATAGATGTTTCTCTGAAGGGTTTTGAATGGATTTTGCGTTGTCCATTAGCCATTAAAGTTAAGCCCTTTGCCAAGTTTCATCTTAAAACTCCAGAAAACCAAGGGCAACGTCCAGAAGGTGACTGCAACCAGTTTAGCCAAGACTCGTGCCTACACTGCTGTATTTTGAGAGTCATTCAACTTTTCCTGACCCATGTCACATGTGTCTACTGAGAATCCCAACACACTGGAGCCATTCTGCCCAGAAGAGACTAATAGTGTAGTGACCCAAGCCTGAGTCACCTGTTTGCAATGTTTAGACACAAAGTGGAGCTGAGGAGGCCCAGGCCCATACAAGCGTACTCACAATCAGATGGCATCACCCTTTATGATCCCTCTGTGCAATCATGTCCTTCCCGGTACACAGTCAAAGAGGGGGAAGGGTGGGGATTGAAGGCCATCGGGGGAGAATTTGCCAAGCAACACATCAAGGATCCAGTGCCAACATGTGCAGAACATTCTTTCAAGGGAAGGAGACGACGCTGCCATACAACAAATGCTTGTTTTGATTCAGTGAAGATTCCGTTCTACTGGAAGGCGCACCAGTGGGGTTCTTCCACAGGATCTGAAAAGACTCCCCCAATCACCCTAGGGACAAACGGTGGGCTCCCCAAAGTTGCTTTAATTGACGATGGGCAAGGAAATTAAGCCCCATCTCCAAGTGGGACGCCTGTCATGACAGGTCTCCGAAAAACAAGCAGCCAAACAACATCACCTGTGCAGTCATTTAGTCTTGAGAAAAGGCAGAATGTTTCCCCAAATCACTGCGCATGTGACGAGATAGGTCTTCTTACTGACCCTCATCGTTGATGCACCGAGCACTCTCACGATATTTGGGGGCATGTTTGTAAGTTAACTTTCAAACAAAAAGTCCTGCCAGAGAGAGTGTGTCCTGAGTTCATTGATTCTCTTTTGGCAAGCTCACAACTCTTGAATTCAGATGGATTAAACACAGCAAAGATTTCCTATACCAATTCACAGGACACTACCTGAAATCTCACAACGTCCTGCTTAAATTTCGGGGTGGGGGGTGGGGGTGGGGTACTGAAACGCAGAAAGTGAGGGAGAGAAGAAGGGTAGGAACATATCATGGAAAAACCATATTTCCAAACCAAAAAGACCAAGAAATTCAACTAACATATATTAACCTTTATTATATAACAGACATAAATAATTTTTATGAATTCATATGACTAGTACAAAAGACAAAATAATATATTGCACTAAGTTTCAACATGGGATATTTGGATTGACTATTAGCTAGCCAAATAAATATATACAATTTGAGGAGTTAAGGCAAAACCAGATGATACTTCAAACACAACAGACGGAAGGTTTGAAAAATAGGTATAATTAAAAACAAGGGCATCCCATCTCCAGTTAATAAAGTGGCCACGTCTGAGGGGGGGGGAATCCCTTAGGTTTTTAATAAAGTGGTTATTATCAATCATGTTAATTAAAGTTGAGCAATAAAGTCATAGATTTCCCACGGAGGAGAGATTTTTTGCCAAGGTTTGGGGACGGAGCACTTAGAACTTGGGTAAGCAACTTTCTCCTTGTCAGAATTATGATCTATTCTTCCTATTAGAAAATATAATTTGGAAAATATGACTCTTTCACATATATAATTAAAATACAACTATGAAGCATTCTTTTTTTTTTTCCTTTTTCTCTTTAAGGGAAGTCATGTTGGTGATTTCAAAGGGAATTCGCGAGCAAGCCATTCATTACCCCGACACAGAGAAGACAGAAGACCCAGCAGGGAAGAACAATTCCCAGATACCTCAAGAAAACCAAACCAACCAATTCCGAGGGAGCAGAAACAAGTGGAGCCAATCGACCAACACAGTATACAGTTCTTTGGCAATAACACACTGACCATTGACTGAAGCTGGAGCTCAAAGGGCTCGCTAATGCTTAGAGGTGGCTGCCAAGTCTTTGAGAATGAAGGAAGGTAAACTCCGCCCCAGCCACAAATTCGGTGATTCCAGGAGACGAAAGTTGAAAATACACCTCGCAGACAGCTTGTTATGGGTTAACATAAGCATAGATCAAGGCAAGGTCTGCCGGGAGTCCAAACCCAAGGACACGGACACGCACACACAAATCATTTGTGAAGCTCGGGACAGGTTAAGACAGGCCTGGAATCTGTAATGAGCATCCACGTTCACCCATGAGAAACCAAGTGGGTGGAGGGTGGGGGGCAAGGGCGGGGAAAGTCGTCTGGCGATGGGAAAACAAAATAAAAAACCATGGTCTTCAGGTAGCTCAGGGTGGGCTGCTCCTCACCTGCGTCAGGACAACGGAGAAACCAAGTCCTATAGGGGAAACACCAGGAAGCCAGAAAAGGTGGAATACTGCCAGCCTCCAACCAAATTCCCTTTCTCCAGTTTCAGGTAAACCTTGTCCTCCTTATCCAGGTAGAGTAGGACTCCGTTCGTGGCCGCTTCACGAGTTACATCCTTGTCCCCAGCGAAGGCGGATATTACTGGCTTACCATTCAGCATCAGGTTCACCTACAAGGGATAGAGTCAGGGGTGAGTTCAGCTGGAAGGGAAGGCTGTGTGAGGCTGATGGGGCACACCTGAGCAGGGTCGACCTGAGGTCTAGGAAGTGTTCGTGGGCCGCACTTCTACCTGTTAGCTACCTGTGTTGTCTGCACTTAGCATGTCAGCTAAGCTGGTTGGGTTTTGTTGGAGGGTTTATTTTTTCTATTTTAATGTCTCCCATAGGAAGGTCTTTACATGTTTACAAAAGAATACGATCCACAGAGCACCGCCTACCCGTGGGAAGATTGGTGTCCGTTCAGCAGTTAAATTAAGCGTACTCCTTTATTTACCTCTTGCATGCTACGGCTACCTTCAGTAGTGCAGCCAGCCTGGGGTTTCCCGGGCGCGTATAAAAAGCGAGCCAATGCCCACTGACCTGATAAACTCAACACTGCCCGGTCCTGGCACGCTCCTTGCAGGTTCCTGGGAAGCAGTGACATGCCTTCCCCTGAAAGATTATCTGAATGAATGTGTGTGTGTGTGTGTGTGTGTGTTAGTATTAAAGTTTTGGTGGTCCAGTGGGTTTTCAGTTGTGCTCAAATCCACCAGTCGCTCTGCAAGAGAGAGACAATGACTGATGCCTGCCCCCATAGAAATTTACCTTCTCCGAAACCCTGGGGAATAGTTCGTCTCTGTCCTCTAGGGCAGCTGTGAGCCAGAATTGACTTGATGGCTGTGAAGAAGTCGGGGGTGGGGGGGGTGGGGGAGGTGCGCATGTGCGCGCATACGTGTGCACACACTCACATGCTGGGATTTCTTTTCTAGTTTCTCTGATAAGAAATGCGCATTAGCAAATGGATGTATGGATTGTGATAAGAGCTGTATGAACCCCCAATAAAAAAATTGTTAAGTCAAAAAATAAAAAGAAAGAAATGTGCATTAGAAATAACATTCACCACTGCTGCTGGAGATTTTAGTATCTTGCATGTAGCAAATACTCAACTCAAAATTTGTCTTTGCTTCTCTGTATCATGAGGTTGATGTCAAACATGACTCAAGTTGGGAAATGGTCTGGCATGGAAGTGAATGCATTCACTAGATATAGGATGAATGTGACATTGATCAAGGAGTTCAAGAGACTGATTGTGGTAGCAGTTGTACAATACTGCTTGGTATGATTGAACTGTGAAATGATATGATATATGTATTAGCTCTCAATAAAATGGCTTGGGGGTGGGAAGAAAGTGACACTGAATTAATTACACTTGAGGCTGATCAATGTATCCACGCTCTAGAATATCCAAGAGTGGTAGACGAGTGCGTGGGTCTCCCCTTGGCATGGACATAACATACTTATCTAAGTCTTGAGCAGATGATGAAAAAGTGTCCTTGAATTCCATACCCACATATGGGTGTTGTAATTAGCAACTGGCATTCATATAATTAAATTCTGTGGAAACGAGGCCTATGGTTTCCCTTTACATTACAGGTCATAGTTATGACATTAGAAGTACAACACAAGATACGTAAGTATTCACTGTGGAATTGCAACTGATCAGAATTTATAAGATCAGAATAACTGAAAATAATCTACTTACAGGATTAGCATAGCACGTGCTTTTTCCAAAGCTTATTGACTATTCGTTCCTTCAAATGTTTCTTCTTAACAGTTAATTTCACCTCAGAGTTTGAAACACTGATATCAGAGTTATTGTATTTAGTCAGTATATATTTGTATAAAGCTCTGCTAGTCTTACCATTGTTTGCCTTACTAGCTTAAACCCGTTTTCCCCCATATGCATTAAATGAAAATGCATTTGTACAAAAAGATTTGTGTCACCAAACTTGGACTAAATCATGTTTTTTAAATGTCTTGTTATGATTAAGGTAAGAATGTAAAGTGGTTCTTTTGCTGTAAGCTTTGGGTCACACACATTAATCAAGGTTATAAGGAAGAAAATTTGGAAATGTAGCTGTTTGAAAAGAAACCATAGAGACCACGGTTCTATTTACCATGCGAATTCCTCTTGGATGCATGCTGCACTGCGTCCCCCACCCCCACCCCCCTGCAGCTGAACACAGTGTCTGAGGATAGAGAAGGAAGGGTCAGAACACCTACCTGGATGGTTTGGCTCTGGTAGACTTTAATTACGTGGAAACTGAAGCTGTATATTCCTTTCCTTGGTGCTACAAAGACTGACTCCAGTGTGAAAAAATTACCCACATTCACTAGGATCTACAAATAAAAATAGCAGACAACAGTACATCATGACAATGTTCTCTCTGGAAGTAAAGCAAATCTTTCCTTCCTCCCTCCTTTCCCTTTCCTTTGTTTCTGCCTTGCCTATCCACACCAGCTTACGAATTCACAGAGAATAAAACATCTAGTTCAGTCTTCTCCTCTTTATTGGAAATGGGTTTGTGTATTGGACTATTCTTCTGTCCTCTAAATGCCCAGAAAAAAATAATAATGAAGCACTTCCTTGCATTCGTACCTCAATTTCCAGCAAGGCCTGATGGTGGTGGGAACATCTAGGTGTTGTGTGAAGGCTCATAACTACAACTTTACCTTGAGAGTCAGCTCAGAGGCTCCTGCCATATATTTACGTTCCCACCATCTGCAACCCTTGGCCATGTCCAGAGGCGACGTTTCCATGCCAGCCAATCAGCATCCAGGCACTCTGCAGTCATTGCTGGACACGTCACAGAGGCAGAGCCCACCCCGCCCTTCCGCCGTGTGACATAATCCAGGACTGCCCAGCTGCTGCACAAAGTGAGCTAAATGCCTGGCTCTCCTAGGATGCCATGGCCATTCCTCCCTACCCCCAGTTCTATGCTACCTAGACTTTAATGATAACATTCTGGCAATGACCCAATTTTGATAGACTGCCAGAGTTGAGCACCGATAAGGGCGGCCTGTGAAACAGGTGGTTTTCTCGTGTCCCTGCCAGTGTTTTCCATGAGCTTTCTATCAATCACTTGCTCCTTATTTAAAGTTGAAGGGTCAAAACGAGGAGTGAGATGGTGGAGTCCTATAAGGCACCGATGCAGCCTGAATTCCAGGACATCCCGCCTGGCTCTACTCGTTATGAAACCAATGCTGAATTTCAAGAAGTGACCACTTAAGCTCTGTTTTCAAATCTCAAATAGCCCTGTCCCTTCCTGAAGAGCAAGGGGGAAATGTGTGTGCAGAGGACGTGCATAAAATAGCTAGGGATTTCATATTCCTCTCATAAAAATATCGATATATGACATTGAAAGATAATCCGATATCTCTGTAGAAATAAGTCTCCCATGCCCCTAAAGCATCTGCAACAATATCTTCTAAACACAGCATTCTGGCCCTCCTTAATACCTTTCCAAGCATCTTGCATAACTCCCTAAAAAAATAAATAAAAGTAAAATTATATCTGAGCAACACAGCAGATACAGGTGAAAGTCAGGGAGGTGTAGCAGACTCCACCATGCCTTAACTACAGGCTCAACACCCGAAGCACATGGGTGTGCACAATTTTATTCCAAGATCTCGACTTTTCTCAAAGAAGCATCTGATCACTTTTCTCTGAGCTGACAATCAATGGTCTTTCCACAACCAGTTACCAGCTGGGCAAGTAGCCCCCCTGAGAGGCTTTAAGGGGAATTTTTTTTCCAAACACATTTAAAATCATTAGAGGTGCTTAGCAGGGATTTCCTTACTCACGTGCAAGTAGCATAACTCATTAGCAATAATGGAAATGGCTGATTAGTGTTGACGACACATCAGGCTGCATGTTGACTCTACGCTGCAATTAGCGCATCCAGGCACATCAGGGAGTTATAAGGAAATGTGTCTGGTTTGCTCTAAGATGCATAGCTCCCAGATCAAAAGAACAAACCCATCTCTTCTAAACCACAGAAAGGTCATTGAAACAAGCCCCCCTGCAGCCCCTGAGAGAGGATGGGCCAGCGCCCAGTGTATTCCAGCATCTAATTAGCGCATCCGAACACAGACCAGCCTTGCTGCTGGCCTTCCTTTCTAGCAAGATGGAAAATACTGCACCAAACACCCAAAGGGGCTCTGATCCTTTTACAGTGAAGGCAGTCCAGTAGCAAACCCCAGGGAGGCTTTCTGTCTTTGGACAGCTGGGGAGTGCAGTAATTTTAGGAGGAGTTAAACAAGGGATGCAAAAGCCACTTCATCCCTGGCCCGGCTTATCTTGGGACAGCACACAACCCCCACTCCTGTACATGTGGTTCTCCTACAAGGGAGACCTGTGACTTAGCGATTTTTAAAAGGCCCTGGGTGCTGTCCAGGTTGAAGGCAGCACCCTTGCCCTCTCCCTGTTCCTGAAGAACCCTGAGGAACTCGAAAGCTGGCATTACAGGATTACAGGGTTTCTCCTTGGGTCAGATTCCCAGAGAGCTCCCGGGTCTGCCGACAGGAGAACCTGCTTCCATCAGTTCCTAGGGAGCCCCTGTGGGCATCCCCAAAGCCCTGCATTCCCCAGCACTGTCCCTGCAAAGAGCAGCGCGGGAACCCAGTAGCAATGCCCATGCATCCCTAGGGGAGCTCCAGGCAGTTACCCAGTCCCTCTCCCTTCCTCCTGCTCAGCAACTTTTCTCCAAGTACCAGGGCACCTGAGCCAGGACAGAAAGGGGGCGGAGGGGGGATGTGACCCACAGCCACCCCTTTCAACCTCTCTGGTCCTCTGCTGGGTACCTGCAGCTTGGTGGGGAGCTCTCTCTGGGCGGGCAAGTGGGGAGCTTCTCCCCCTGGGGAAGCAGCTGGAGCATTGATCAGGCAGCACCTGAGAAGTCCGGATCAGGTGGCCACGCTCTGGCCCAGAGGCTGCCAGACCTTGGGACCAGATTTCATCAGCTCAGGGGACCTGTTGCTGTAAAACTTGTCCTGAGCTCCCTCTGCCAGGCGGGTGCTCCTGGGCCTCCCTGAACCTCCTGGCAGTGTCTCCCGGGAGCCCAGGAGGGAGTTGGGAGGGAGGCGTTATAGGAAGTTTGAGACCACCCAGATAAGCTGGGGAGGTGAGTGGCTACAAGACCCCCAATATCTTTAAAGGACCAGTGGAGCCTCAGGAGGTAGCCAGGTGCCAGCCACACCTTGGAAGCCCACCTCCCCAAAGCCCTGCTTCCCTGGGAGTCTGACCTGATCGAAGTAAATGATTCTGGTCTTGTTGCTCATCTCCGACGGCTCGTGGTTGGTGCTCCGCACGGCCGAGAAGGCCACCTTGGAGTTGGCCGCCCTGACCGAGATGCCCAGCGGCGAGGACGAAGAGCCCTTGGAGTCCGTGGCCGGGTTCGAGTCGCACACCACCAGGCACTTGCCCTCCAGGACGATGGGCTCCGTGTCGTTCTGCGCCCACACGGGCTGCCCTGGCACCGTGAGCACCAGCAGCAGGGTCAGCCCCGCGGACAGCGCCCGGTGCCCGGAGCCCATGGTGAGCCGG